ACCAAATCAAAAACTTTGGATTTCTAGTATAACTAAAAAAAGAAAGTAGATTCCATTGTTCAAAGATTGTTTAGCGTTTTTGTTAGCTAGTGTAAGGAAGAATGAACATTCTAATCAGATTTACTCCCACACTCTAATGGATGAACGCACTTCTGCAATATTTGGGATTCAAATACTGTTTCTCTTTTCATTCAACTATTTTTAAATGATTGATCAGTCTTTCTACCCGAATAGTTACATTTACAATAAATAAAATTTGTCACCTTACATAACCTACTGTATATTTATCAAAGTTTCCTCTTGTGTGATACATGAATCCTTTTTAAATGCAGTTTCAGCCGAACCGTAGGTGTGCCAAGTATGGTGAGAAAAGTTAGGTATTATTTATTAGACCTGTCCCAAGCACTGGGAAGCACAAGGTGGCTGAATCCTAGATAGCTCATTTTCCTCCTTCCCCTTCAGACATTGCTCCATGGTTACTCAAACTGTCATCTACCTCCCACTCTGTACTGCTACTGCTTTTTTCAAAGGCGAGTTTGAAAAGTGTTGTGGATTCCTTGTTGAGAGAAGACACTTTGAGATGAGCAAAATTTATTAAGAAAATGGCAGTTAAAGGGCATTAGGTCATGGCTGAGGTTGAAAAGGGAGGTGAAAGCAGGCCCTTGACCATTAATTCGTACATCCCTTATTTTAGTACTTCCATAACTCTCCCTACACTTACCTGTGTGAATTGGGAGCGTTCCACTGAAGTCATTGTACATGCACTACCATAAAACTCATGTGAAGGAGGAAGGCCCTCAGTGTCTTGTCAGTGCCACTGAACTGAGAAATCAAAATTCTTAGTTCTCGCTTTGCAAGGTCGATCCTCCTGCAGACCAGCTCCACCAGCAGGGTGCCATGATGCACTGATGCCTTGTGCAAATGAACAACCACATCCTCAAGTGCGCTGCCACTGCCGGCTTTTGTCAACATCACTATTTTCAGACACCATTTGGAGTTTAACTTACACAGATTGCAGGTGTAGGTCAACTAAAGTAGTGGTTCTTTGAATCAAAATAGGAGCTTTGGCTTCTGGCAAATGCAAATTTATCTGAAATGTTTCATGCATTTGAGACCAAATGTTGTGGTGCAAAACGTTAGCAATACATAAACCAGCTGTACATAACAAAACACAAATGATGGCACAGGTTATAGTTGTACTGGAACATGTAGACTATGATCACAGTATATGTAATTCATTTGGGTTGAATTTTGTTTAGACTGCGAAGAAAGGAATATTAAACCTCTACTTTAATAAGCATTGTCGGATCACCAGCCATGTAAGTTCAGAGCGTTCAAAATGTATAAGGTATGAGGATTAATGTGGTTCATGATGTCCATTGGAAGGTGAATGATTCACAAGGAGTGAATATTCCGCTCATTAAATCTAATGGGGTCATGTCAGTGGAAGCTAATATATTGTGAATTAGTATGTTTTATTAAAATATCTAAGAAAAGTGCATGTGGTAGTTGATATAATGCTATAGTGTACCTGCAGAACCATAGCAACATGCAAGTTTTAACTTTTGTTCGATTGCTACTTTAACTATTATTCCTTTCAGATAATTGATTTTCCAAGTGATATTTGCATGTTATTTTTCTGCCCAGATTTAGTTCTTAAAAACAAGTGTGTTTTCAAGAGGACAGTTTAGTGTAGGGAAATGAGCTACTTTCTACATTTGAAATTTAAATGTTTTGAAATTGTTAGGCAGGATTCTTAGTGGCTTAAAATTGGTCCTCACCTGAGAGAACAAAATGAAGCCTTGAGACTAAAGTTTAAGTAATCAGAGCAACCTTTGTCACATTACTGTAGCTTAATATTAGAGTGGCAAAAAAATCGATATCTTTTACATTGATGTAGTTCTGCAGGTGCCTGGTACCATTGTGCTAACTACAATATGTAAGTTTTACAAGGAATTACTAAAAACGAAACTGGTGATTTCCATTTCTCTGTATTTTATTATGTTCTGCTCTCCTGTGTACAAAGTGTCATTGCCACAGCACCTTAGAATGCTGATTACTTATAATAATTGTCCTTGTAATTTGCCTGGAAGATCCACTATTACTATCTTCCAAAATGAAAGCACCGAAATACTGAGCAGATTTTAGTCAAACCAAGTTTTTCATAAGTTTGAGGTCATATGCAGATGTATGGAAATGTTGTAAGGATCTTGTTACTGGATCAGTCAGGATTTTATGCCAAACGCTGAATATTAGGCTGAACTTCCTTATTGATTTAATCACAGCTATTGCAACTAGCAACTCATATTGTGTGGCTGTGTGTGTTTGTGTATACACACTGATTAATTTAGAATTAACTGAACTTAAAAATTACAGGATTAGATATTATAGTTACAGTGGTCATGTCATTTACTGCAGTCTTTTTGAATGCGAGTATGCAATCAGTTGGAAGTCTGACCTCCAAATAGATAATCCAAGCTCAGACAGGCTGCCACTCATTCATCCTCTGCAACAAAGTGATCAGGTATTGCTGAGACATCTCCTTAATGAAGTGATTTTGTTGCCATTTATCTGTGTGAAGGACAAAATGTACCAGGATTCTTGCTTAATGGTGGTGTCATTTTTTTTCAGTGTTTAAAAAAAAATCCAGCAACATAGAAGACTCAAACAAAATAGTCTACATGTTTAAATTATAAAGCTCTATAGGTCTGTAACATTTAGGTCTGTATTTAAAATCTCATGACATAAAACCATGATGTTACATCAGTTCACTAATAAAAGTAAATTCATAAAGATGATGCAATTAGTGCTGTACCATGTTTGGGATTTGAAATACTTTTATTACAGCTTTTTTTAATCCAAAAGTCTGATTTCTTTCAAGTATGTACCAGGGGTTTTCTGAATACAGTTTGCGAGGGGCTTTACTTGTTTTCCAGGATATTCCCAATGCATCCGTGAGCATATTCCCGGTCTTGCTCTCCAACAGAATATGCAGATGGGAAGGCTGTGTGACATACTGGGTATGTTATGAGCTGTTGGCTGCCTGTTTTTTGATCGTTATTTGCCCATAGTTGTGAGTGATAGGGAATGACCAATGAGGACTTTCTTTTTGTATTAATGTTAAATATAGAGAACATATAAGCTCAGAAGTAATTTATCTGCTATGGCATTTGCTCTTGTCCACGTTATTCATAAGAACACACTGATTCTTTCCGACTCCGTGATAAGGTAAAGCAGCCTCATCCTGTGGCATGCTGAGCACCACAAACGATCAGAAGTGTTTAGTGTTCTACAAAATTAGGTAGCTAATTCTGCTAGTGTTCATTCAGGCTCATATGGAGAGAAAGATGTGCTAGAAAAGAGCAAGCCCTTATTTAAACCTTATTTTTTAATTGGCAAACAAGGCAAAAGGCATACATTAAAAAGTTTTTCCTAGAATGACAGTCCTCTTTTAAGCAAAGCAGTGAAAAATATTATTTGTCAATGACCAACTTCATTGGCTCCCTGGAATGACATACTTTACATGATTCATGTATATTTCAGTATCATTATTATTTTATAAATGCCATTTAGTAAGTTTGTAACAAAAATATATTAGATCCAGAAATTTACAGTTGCCTAAAATAATAACGTAATTGCCTTTATATATTATCTCGGCACTAATATTGTTTTTCCACAGTACATTCTTAGTACAGTTTTATTTTTTTCATTTTTTAACATAGATTTTTTTTTCTCTAACATGATAGTTAGAAACTTAAAGGGACAAAGTCAACATGTTATACAGGCATTCTTTATCACTTTAAAATCTGTGAACGTGAAAATTGGTTCTACTGTAAAATGTAAAATAGACCATGAGTAAGATACAAACTAGTCAAATATTAACTAAATTATTAACTAGATCAGAAGCTTTACCTGTGCCTGGCAGAAGAGCATTGATATTTACCATATTGGTTTTCTTTTTCTTTAGAATACCCCCGGATTTCCTTGCTTGTTGTGACCTGCTATTAGCTAATCTGTCTCTGGAGCCTCACTGTGTCCAAAACAGACTTGTATATCTCTTTATAGGGCAGTGCTAGGAGTAGTAAAATGTGTTGCAGCATTTTATTCTACAAATTCACTTGAGCTTTTCAATTTTTGACGGTGCAGTCCATTCAGCATTATAGCCGACATTGGCGAGTAGTCTTTTTGCACCCTAGCCAGTAAATTTTTAGGCTCATTTTGCAAGTCTGAGTAAATGCCTAAAAGCAATAGAGTATTGACTAACAGTTCTAATGAACTGTTCTTTTAATTAGGTTAAAAACTTATATGGTAATGAACTGTATTAAATAAAGGCTCTGTCGGGGCTTCAGGTACAGGACTGATTGTCAGATGCTGTACTACTAAAATGCTTCAGTTGAGATTCTGGCCTTACATTTTTAATGTGGGTTGTTTGCCTGTAGCAGTATGGCAAAACAAAGTAAATGAGTGGGATATCTTATTCCTTTATAACGTTAGGCTCAGGGTTTCCTTAGTCCAATACTTGCTTTGCTTTTGATTCACTCATATGTAATAGCAGTTGTCCCTGGCACTTTCAGGGCTCTTGTTCCCGTGCCCAGTAAAGACAATGAAAGACTTCGTACTGATTTCAGCAGGAGTTGGATCAAAATCTAGGAGTGCTTTTTGGCAGCGTATTCTATTGATGTTGCAAGGCCCATTAATGCATTAGCTCATCTATTAATGTTAATATTTTAGAAGAGCAGAGTAGTTAAAATTTTCCAAAACAGCATATATTAAAGGCTTTCACTTTCTTGTCTCTAAGTGTTTGTGTATACGCTGTCTTTCAGCTCAAGTTGTTTTACATGCAGAAAAACAGATTTTCACACTGTGGTATTTAACTAGCTAATCTGCACACTCACGTGCTCAGCAATAGTTATTAATTGTATCCTACCGTGAGCTTTTATGTGGACAGGACAAGAATAGGAACAGGCCATGCAAAATCCAGGCAGCATATGAAATTGAAATTTCATCAGCTTTCTAAACTTAATAGCTCAGTTTTATAATTTACTGAAGTTAATGGGATATATTTTTAAAGTAGTGTGCAATTCCCATTGATGTTAATGTGAGTTGCGCATATAAATCCCCCTGCAACACTTTCAAAATTCTGCCCCCAATATGTTCTGCAGACTGAATTCCGAAAACTAGCTGTTTCTTTGGGTTGCTGACCTGTCTTCAGAGAAATGCTGAAGCACAGAAAAAGCCGTTAAACTACTAAGATTTGGGAATTACAGATCTCATTTTTATTTCCAGTGCTCTTTTAGGGAAGCTGTTAGCAAATGATCAGGAATTATCAGATTGCTGTTCTGAATGGAGTCTACCTTTCTCCCAATAATGAACATTGTGCCCCTTTGTTTTAGATGCCAACGTGGACGTCATCTACATCTGCCCCCTTCATCTGAGTGAGGAGTTACTGCAGTATTACAATAAACTCCTGGGTCTGCAGGCAGCTGTTAGATCTGGGAAGCCTGAGGACATGGGTGACCTGCAGGACAGGTTCAAAATTCTCACCCCTGAAGCTATAAACAGCTTCCCTGTGAGTTTGTCTTCTAATTACTACAGCTTGAGGGATGCAGTAAAATTAAATTGGAAATTTTATAACTTGTAACGCTCTGGTACACATCAGTGAAATATTATTGCAAGTTTAAGGGCTTTACTGATTAGACTACTAGTTAGAGCATTGGAAATAAATATCCCGGTTTAGCTTTATAGACTTAGTTGAGATAGTCCTATATTGGCTATTTGTAGACCACTGTCCCTTCTTACTATATGCTTGGGACTGGGAACTTGATAGATCTGTATCTCAAAGCAAATCATAGTAATAAACCATTCTTATTACTCAAACTTTATCTCTGGGTAGCCCAGCATTCAATCATTCATGCGTTTGTAGTGTTTCTTGTAACTAAATCCAATGCAGAACTTCTTAAAGAACAGAACTTAAAATTACTTGGGTTAGGTAATACGGAAATATTCGTTCCAAGCCTGTCAAGTCAGTTTTAAATCCATGTGCTAAAACATGGTCTAAAAAGAGACCTTAATGAATATAAACTACATGCAGTGTTTCTGGAAATACTGCAGTGCAGTGAAGTTTCTTTACAGTGGAGAATAATTTTATATTGTAAATATTAAGTCCACAGTGTCTTAGCTGAGATTTTATTTTTATGAAATATTGTGGTACGTTTATATTTCTAGGGTCTATGCTTGAAGCCCTGCTCCTGTTTTCGATATATATTAATAATGCTCTTCTAGGTATTTTGTTGAACAGGTATTTGTTATACCATATACTGATTGAAACTGATGGCTTCAGAAGGTCAAGAAGCTTTTTGTATTTCATAAATGTGTTCATTTTCAAATGTAGTTCTATAGTAGCGTACTGTTCAGCAAAACACTTGCATATATGCATGAATCCATTTCTGTTGAAATAGTCTGAAAACACGTATGTGAGAAAAGTGCTTAGCTCTTTTGCTGTATAGGAAGGGATCCCTGAGTCAGAGCTGTCTGATAGTTTTGCCATAGTTAAAATGAATTCTGTAGATATGAATATGTTCTGTTTTCTCTGAAGTTGGAGAAAAGCATCAAGATGATATTTGTGTGTTTAGGAGCTGGCTTTCCTTTAGTATTGTCCTTTTATCTGAATAGTGGAAACCTACAAGAATCACAGCTGCCTGTGCTGGGCCTTCACCTTGTAAAGTAAAATTATTGGGATGCTAAATCCTTGATAAATACCAGTGATATATTTTTTTCTTTTTAAATTGCGCTTTGACAATTGTAGCTGTTTTGTCTCTGAATACTGGGTTATTTTTGCAGTACTAACTACCAAATATTGGAAGCTTTAAGAAGCCTTCTACATAAAACATGCTAAAAATATAATCTAAAACACATCGTGTTATGGATCAAAGATGTGCTGCTAAACATGGACAGGCTGTCCAGGAATGTAAAATGTCTTTCATGGATGATTTTGGTCATGGTGATTTGGCTGTAGTTTTAATGTAAAAGTAGGTTGTTTTCAGGCATGCATCTCTTGTGTATAGCCTTCACTCTTCCAATTTCTGTTGAAATATTCCAAAGTTTCTTTTCCAGAAGGAAAAGAAGAGCAAACAGCTTTGTGAAAATTTGCTCTTGTGATGAGCAAACAGCTTTGTGAAAATTTATTATGCAGCTATGATTTACTGGGAAATGTTTACATGCTCTGATGTAGGGAGCTAACCTTAGTTACAAGGGCTACATGGTTCTTCCATGGATATGGATCTTGCCACTCACCCAGTAGTGGAATGCTGAGAAGTGTGTTAGTGCCAAGTGCCATCAGAAAGAATGGGCAATCACAGGTTTTACATGATACCAGGTTGAGGTATACCCTTGGCTGTTCAGTGTGGTGCACCTGTTTATATGCAAAATCCTCAAACTACCTTGTTTTCATTAAGCATATGTTCTTTACCATCTATTACCTAATGTGTCCAAGAAATGTGTCTTTTGTGTGGAGAAAAATCTGTACTCGTAACTGATCCTAGTCACCCATTGGCTTCAGTGACCGTGGATTTAGCTGTCATTTTGTCTGTGTAAGGGTTAGAGCTTTACAGGTTCTTTTTAAGCATCTTTCGTCTGGGTTATTTAATAAAAAGTTTTTGTTGTACCTAATGTATCTAAATTTATTCCTAATATATGGAAGTGTGGCTTGAAGGCCAGCTTAGCAGGCTCCTTTGAGCAATTTTAGAAGCACAAATCAGCCCTGGCCAGTTTCCTAGCTATTTTGATGGAACTGGATGGAAGGAAAATCTGTGGAGAAGACACCCAGACGCAGGTAGACCTGTGCTCGTTGGCATCTGAAGAGGGGAGGCAGAGGGAGACTGTGAGAAAAGGGTGTCCATATACCATTGTCCTTAGGCAGTTGCTAGCTATTAGAATGAACTCTTGTGACTCAGTGCATCCAGGTGCAATGTGAAACACTTCTAACAAAGGGTTACACTATCCTGATTCTCAGCTAGCAGCATATCAAAACAGCATAGTGGTAGCTTTGCTCATCATGATGAGGCTGATGCCAAGGTCAGCTTCTCTGATCTTGAGAAGTTTAAAAAAAAAAAAAACAACCAAAAACCAACAGCTTGAGAACCAAGAACTAGCCTTTTGGTTAACCTACTAACCACTATTCTGTGCAGTGTCGTGCTGGAATTCTGAGGATTGCTCCGTTCTCCTGCTTTTACCTGCTTTCACTTGCACTACTATATATCATGGCAGCTATACCACTCTCAAAGCAGGAATGAACTAGATTTTACAGCCTGTTTCCTGCACTCCTTAATTAACTGTAAAATCCATTATTGAGAGACACAAAGCAAATCTCGTCCCTACATCACCACTCGTGGCCCCAGGGAGCAAGTGACCGGGGCTGGAAATTGATCCTGTTCTCTACATGGCAGAACTCTGCCATGAGACCAACAAAACGGGCTATCTCCCTCCTTTTATACCAGTGCTCAAGAGAAAGGAAACAAATTAATCAGAACATTAAGAGTCTCAGTTTTAAAACTGATGGAAGGAAAAAGACTCCAGGAAACTTGTTTGTTGTTCTTTTTGCCCTTAATTCTGTGACTCCCCTTTTTCCTACTAGAACTTTGAAGAGTATCTCATTTCTCTGACTTCTATCCTCCCTCTCTTTGCAGTATGTCTGACTCCTTTACAGAGAGACTTGGGCATTTTTTGGAACTCTGTGTTTGGTATGAGAAAGCACTGAGGAATTGACAAAAGGGGATTCCTTTTGTCTACTTCCAGGGGCTTTCCCCCATCTCCTTATCCACCATTGTCCCCATCTGTCGTGGTTTAACCTCAGCTGGCAACTGAGCACCACAGTCGCTCACTCACTCTCCTCCCCCCTTCCCGGTGGGATGGTGGAGAGAATCAGAAGAGTAAAACTCATGGGTTGAGATAAGAACAGTTTAATAATTGAAATAAAGTAAAATAGTAATAATAATAATAGAATATACAAAGCAAGTGATGCATGATGCAATTGCTCACCACCCACCGACCGATGCCCGAGCAGTGCCCCCTCCCCCCGGAAGTGTAATCAGGATTTATACTTTAGTCCCTGTGAAGGAGCATCCAGGACTTTGAAGGAAAATATTATGGGTTCTCCAGTCCTGGAAATCCCCAGCAAATCCAGTATTTAGGCTAACCTGAAAAGGAATACTTTCCTGACTAGGGCCTAAATCAGATGAAATCTCAATGTGAAGATGATTTTCTTCTTGTTACGATTATGATTTGTTTATGGCAATCTATTGCAGTGGATGTCTCTTGTACTATTTCTGCATGATGTCCATCCCTATCTGTCTCAACCTCAGTGCACCTCTATCTATACCTTCAGAAAGATAATCGGGTTATCTGCAGACCATGCATAGGATATGTTGTAGATAATATTTTTGAGGTTTCACCTGCCATGACTAACATTCTTAGTTTAAATTTAGAAGTTATAGCATCTGTCATGAACAGCTTGTTCAGCAACAGATTTTCTTTTTTTAGAAGAAATGAAAAATTCCTCCCCAAAAGTTGAAACCCTTGTACTTTAAACAACAAAAATACTACCCTCTCCTTGAGTACTCTGCAGTTGCATTTACAGTAGCTATCAGAACCACTGTGTAATGGAAATGTATATCCCCAGTAATTTAATGTGATCAGTGAAAGCTTTTGTAAATCAAAGTGGTTTATTCTCAGAGAATCACTTAAAATACTGCTGAACTGTACGGTGAAATACATTCCCTGCTATAGGGGTTTTTCTTCATTTTTGTATTGATTTTTAGGAGCTTTAGAGTTAAACCATGCCAGAAGTGTTGCTGAGATGAATCACTATTATCCAAAGGCCACCAGCCTCTCTGCCGACTGACAGAAGGATAATTCCGCATGGATCAAATAAATACAGATGTGTAGTAATTAGTTCTATTCCCAGTGAGCCCATTTCCAACACGCTAAAGATGTGCACGATTATGGAGCCTCACCCCAACAGCTTTTATCAATTTAAACCGCTAAGCTACAGGATAGGTCATAACCCAGCCTGCTATTAATAATGTATTTATTGTGTGCAACATTATAAATTAGGTTCATGGAATAGAAAAGAACACCTTTTAACAAGAATAATGTTATCTTTATACAGAAGCATCACATGTGCCTAGCCACTCAGCTGAAGTACAGTCCCAAGACGATCAAAAGAATAAAAATTCTTATCCAGAGCAAAGATGCCTACATTATTGGAGGGGTTCCCCACAAAGATGATTTAGCAGTGGCTGACATGCTAAATGTGCCTATATTAGGCTCGGTGCCAGAAGTGGCTCATCTCTATAGTACCAAGTCTGGAAGTAAACGAATTTTTACCAGTGCTTGTGTGCCAACCCCTCCTGGAGAATCTGACATCTACAACAATGAACAGGTAAGCAGGATGTGGTCTGGGATGTGTCAAGGTGCAGATGTCTGTTTTCACTTGATAGGATGCAAACTTTGTACAATTGCAATGACTGCATTGATTAGACCCTAACTGGGTTTGATTAAATCATGTATGAGGTTGGGTTCTTTTTTGGCTCTATCTGACCAATTAAATGCAATTTGTATCCTAGTCAGGAGGTAATACAATTGTTCTGGTATTCTTCATGGTTTTTCTTGAGAACATATAAGGGCGTTTGGTCCAGTTATTTCAAACAGTTTGTGTTGCTGCTGTCATGAAGTCATGGATGAAGTCATGGCCTCAATGAGATTAATAGGAGTTCTACCAGTGACTGAAAATAGAACAGGGATTTCTGGGAAAATTAAGTATTTGATGAAGGGAAAATTTCTTCCACTTAGGAAGTCAGCCTATTGAAATGGAGGTTCACTGAGCATATCTGCAACTGAAGTTTTACCTTGTATCCGGCTTATCGTTGCTAAATTCACCTATCTTGTTAGTATGACCAGTAAGAAAAGTAAAGGATATTACTAAACTAAAATTACAAGGCACAAGAGTCTTCTGTACTGTGTTCAGTTTATATATGTTTCATTTTTTAAAAAAAATATTTTTATGGTGGTGCTACATCTCATACAGGAAAATAATCAGTGCCGTGGTTTGTAGGTATTCCTACTTCTTAGAGAGGGTATTCACATTACTTTGTTTTTTATTAATGACCTTTAACACTGAAGACAATCTAAGCTACACAAATACATTGCAACTTCTATAGTAGATAATAAATATATGATCAATGATCTGAAAAACAACTGTGATTTATTGTTAAATAATTTATGTGAATCTAATACTTTTGATTCGTACTACAGTGTTACGGAATTTCTACTTCTGTTGTTTGCTTGTATGAAATATTGACATTTTAGGTTAAATAATCAAAGCAAGGTGACGCTATGTTAAAGCACGATTCAATTTTCACTTAAAGATAGCACATAATTCTTTGATTGGTACAGTCCTTACAATCTTATTGATCCTTTTCACTACTGTGTCATCAGGAAAACCACATTTATGCGATTCTCAAAAGCCACAAATAATAGCATCTGGAACACACATGTAATTGTATTTTAGGTCAACGTTAAAAAAAAGAAACAAACGTCCCAAAAATTACCATGTAAAAATGTAGAAGGCTCTAGCCAACGCAACAAGATCTGATAATACTTTTGCCAGGTTCAAAGGCATTTGCAGTTTCTAAGAAGCTAATTGCATCCTACACCAGCTGGGCAAAAGGCATTTTAAAGCCATTTAAATCTGTGTACATACACAAATAAATAATTAGCATTTTTATAAAGCCTGCCTGGTAACTCCTTTGTACATTTATAACCATATAATGTACTCTCCAGTAGGAAAATTTCACAGATGTTTTGGCTGGTGTTAGAATCTGGCACAATTGTTTCTCAGATTTTGCAAATAGTCTAGTCCATCCCATGTTGTTCCCTGTCGCAAATATTTATTGAGCGGTACTGATTATCCAAAACCTAAGATCCTGATCAGACCAAAAAGCCTGGACAGGCAAATTTCTCTCTGCAAAATACAGCTTCACCGACTGCAAAAGGTGCTCAGTTGCTGTTTGGTAGTCTGCACAAGTGGACTCAAGTACAGGATGAAAGCCATAGATTCTTCATCAAAAAATGTTTAAGGTTGCTTTCACTACATATCCAAGATAACTGTAACAACACAAGCATCTCTAAGAAAAAGAAACTGTATTTAGAAAATAAATTTCAAGTCCAAATATTAGAGAACTGGAAGTCTGAATTGAGGAACAATTTAATATTGTCATAGTGCAAAATATCTTTGTGTCGTTGCTCCACAGATGATTAGTGCTCTCAGTCAGCTGATCCTTGACAACATGGAAGTGCGGCGTTGGTTGTTTAAAGTGAATGATGAATCTGGAGGAAATGGCACTGCCTATTGTGATATTATTTTGCATTTGAAATGCTATCACTGGGTTCAAAAGGAACGTCAGAGATACAGCCCTGAGATATGGAGTAAGAAGTGGGCACATGTAAGTAATGTGGGAGGAGGATGGTGTCTTGTTTGTTGTCATGGCTTCTTAATAGTCCACTGGAGTTCTTCCTCACAGTAAATCTTTTCTGAGCTTTCATTTTAAGACATTAGTAAGAATTGATATTACAGAGTCCAGACTAGCTTGTACAAAGTAGTAGGTAACAGTAATTCAAATAAAACAGTTAAATATTCCAAAATATAAATGAATCCCTGTCATCCAACTGTGGAATAAGTTGGGTGTCGTAACACTTCATTCATATGCAATAATGTGCAAATTTTACACAGTGATTTTATCCAAAGTGAGGACATGTATAAATGAAAATATATAGGCAGTAGACCCTTACATCTACATACAAACTTGGAATTACTGGAACAAAAGTGTTGGACTAATATAGTTGAACAATACTAATCAATTTGAAATCACATACAAACTGATCATTTTTTAATCTGTTTTTCTAAGGATTATTTTTTCTGTACATTTTTCCTCACTAATAACTTTTAAGCCTGTTAGCAATTTTCAGCTGTATAAGACAGAACAGTTGAGGTTTCGGAGATCATTAGACTCCTGCATGTTTCATTACAGTGGGTCTTTAGGTAAGGAGAGAGATCCTATAAATACTTAACTGAGGGAAACAGTATAGCATGAACTCATGCACTAGTAGATTCCTAAGAATCCACATGATTGAGAGAGGCTGTAAGATGATACATTTCAACTGCAGAAAAATCCATATGAAACTAGACTTCATTAGTTCTGGCATTCTGAGAACTATTTGTAATTTAAATATTCATTGGTATTTAAATGTGTTAATTTCAATAAGCATTTGATATTTCCGTATATGGTGCCAAATTCATTCCTAATGTAATGGTTTTAAAGCCAGAAGGAATGTATCCAGAAAGAATTGTTTAATTCACATAAACTACTCATTACAGCTCTTTTGATTTTTTTTTTAATTCAATCTAAACTGTTCTGAAATTTTTGATTGAATTATATTGTATATTACAATTTCAAATTGTGCTGATTACAGTTCTGTTGCATTTGACAACTACAAAATAATTCCACGTTATAAAATAGAGCTTATCATATAAAGCTGAAGGGCTAGTTTCTCTGATCTGCTAAAGATCCCTCACTCTACGCCAGTCAAGCAGTATAAAGTAGAGCACTGGAGAGCCACCCCAGTGGAAGCATTGTCTGGCTACTGAGCTCTCTGGGACATAAAGCTAACAATATATCCAGATCCTGCTCCCACCATCTGAGTCAGTGGGGCAGAAGACATGATTCACCAGGTCTAGTTCTTTGCTGGTATAAATTCCCTATGTAAGTGGTATTACCTAGTGTTAGTATTAGTGTTCCTGTTTCTGTGCCTTTTTAATTCTTTCGTGGCTAAGTGACTCTGCATAAAGGACATAGTGATAGCTGGCTTTCTTTGGTTTCCCTTTTATACTGTATTTACGTTGAGCTTTGATGCAACCAGGAATCAACCCGTTAGAAGCCCTTAAACATAAACATTTGTTGGAAGTTGGAAAATACATACAGAATAACATATTTGAGCTAACTTCCTAAAGTCAGCAGGCAAGCTTCCATAAATCCAGACCAGTATTAAAGTGGGCTTTGGCAAAGCGTGAAACTTACTGCCATTTTGAACGTCTTGTTTGAATATGTGTGTTCAAATTTTTCTGCCTTCTGAGTTTAGCTCTCTTTTGTAGAACGGGAGACCTTTATTATATATAATGAATTGCAGTCTCCACTGAGTATTACCATTGAGAGCAGAGGATTAAAATCATCCTTTGTTAAGGAATACCATTGTAATGATACACATTTAAACATCAAAGCATTAGTTTATGAGCACAGGCATGCTTTAATGTCCTATTACAGTATGTAGACCTGTTTCTTTTGATAATGAAGACATTGTGTCATTGGCATAGGCTGCCACATACAAAACGTATGCTGGCAGGTTATTAAAAAATTCAGCTTCTTGATGAAAGACTATCCTGCAGGCTAAGAGTACAGTGAAAAGACTCTCCGTTCTGGTAGAATTATTAGAAATGAGAATATGACTGTAAGCACTAAATTATGTTAATACTTACAAATAGCATCATTTGCATAGCAGTTTAAGACACGATACCCAGATTTTCCTCATTGGTATGTAGTAGGCAACAGCCTTAAAAATAATGTAGTTTGTGAGTTTGAACTGTGTAAAAATCTATTCAATCTAAAAATGAGACTGATTTTAGATTCCTCATTTCAAACATAACATTGGGCAAACAAAAGTGCAGGACAGGATTATCAATGTATTTTACCTTGTTAACTTAATGCAGCATCTGAGTTATCTGAACAATTATTTTGCTACTGCATAAAGGGTAGAATTCACAAACTATGCTGAATGTCTCTGTAAGGCCTTCATCCTACTGTGCACTGCTGAAGTCTGTCAGCATATAAAAAATTTCATCCTGAGGCCCAGATTCTAATGATTTTCAATATCAAGAGAACTGCTGCCTCCACAAGTGCACATCTGGCAATTGTGAGGCCATTTATGGAGATATTCTCCAGTGTGAAAGAGAATATTGGGATCTGGCCCCAGTTATGTGCAAAAACATCAGTAAGTACTGAGACACCTTAGCAGTTTAATTGTATCTTGCAATGTGAATGAAATGACTATTGTAGGGAGCAAATAAATGCACAGATTTTTAACTGTTTAACATATGCATGTAAGGCATGTATGCTGTGTGAAATGCTCTTATGCCATTCTATAATGATTTTCCAACATATTTTCTGTACCAATTCAAGCTTCAGTTAGTCCGCGCATAGCAAAAAATGTAGTTCTGCTACTACTCGAGTAAGTGAAAAAACAATAGGACAATTGCATGAGGGCCTGTTTGGAATGTCTAGAGAAAGATACCCATAATACTTATTAATATATGGTATTCCAAAGTATGTTAAGAAGCTGGGTATCTCACTCCTGTTGAAAGTCAGCAGTTCAGTTTTTGGAAAATCTCGCCTATACTTATATGGACTCTTGCTGGGAGACTGTATAAATTCATGGAAGAGAAAACTATTAACTATTATTGCTGATGCAATCTCTGGCTTAGAGGGATTCTGAGCTGCAAATTGTTGGAGGCTGGGAGAGTATCTGGGGAATGGATATGCTTGCTCTGTTTTCATACTTTCCTGGGCATCCACTTGTGACCACTGTCAGAGGCAAGATTCGGGGCTAAGCAGACCTTATACAGCCATACTTTCACGACCGTGAAGAAAGATGCTCAGATGCCCACTCAGAATTCAAGCTGAAGTGATCTACAAAGTATATGTTAATGCCTTTTGTTTGTTTTTTGACCAGACCCCAGCCTGTCAAAGTCTGCGATGCCTCCTGGTCTCTGACTTCGAATCTTGGGACTCAAAACTGCCACCTCAAACTCATGATGCTTGCAGCCCTCTTCCCTTTTAGAGGAAGGATAGCATCACCTTCCTGTTAGTGTTGCCTTTTTTGTTCTTTTAACAGTCGTCCTTTTATGTAAAATAATACAGGAGTATGCAGAGATCCTGCCCGCTTGTATAACTACAGAACTAAATAGTTAATCTAGTGATATAGATACTTAATAGTCAAATTAATTTTAGAATTAACTTTTATTGCACTGTGAGACTTAATTAACCACCAGGACCAGCAACATGATGTGAGTTTTACCTATCAGCAATCCTAAAGATAACAAAGGTCAGACTGAAGACAAAAAAAGGGATAAATGTGGCGATAAAGAAAAGAGCTGAAAATACAAGAATAGAACAAGACACAGAAAAACAAGCAACAAATATTCTCTCAATAAGCCATTATAATTGGCCGTAGCTACACAACCATTTCAAAATTCTCCATTAGATATCTGTTGTAGAAGAAAAAAGCTATTTAATGCGCTTGGGCAGCCTACTGTTTTAAATGTTAGAGTGTTTGAATCTTACTGCCTCTAGTTGTGTCACAGTATTTTGTCACGGTTTCTTTTCCTTATAGACTATATCTTGGTTAATTCACTAAAATATGTAAGAAGAAATCAAAATCTTTTCAAAAGGTGACAAATCTGGAAAATCCAACTTTTGGTCTGAGTTGCATAAAGCAATATTCAGACACTGGTTGCTGGATTTTGCACTGATTGCTATTGGAAAATTACAGTTTCAAAGGCCAAGATAAAATGCTGCAAAATGCTGGCTGTTCCTTTACATTTTTTTGGTCAATTTTCAAAAGTGCTGTAATAAGTAGTTAGATAAACTTTGTGATTATCTGAAAAAGAAGGAATAGTGGTGAGATTTTTAACTGGTTGAGTGAATTGCATTCACTATAAGAAACCTGAAGCTTACATACCACGTCTTGTTTCTTTACTGAAGTAAGGAATTCAGAGTAAAGAGCATATGTTTACAAACAGGTCAAAATAAAACCAACCGTAATACTGTCAAAGACGTAATTTTAGAAAAATGGCATTGCCAGCACGCTATCGTTTCTGACTGTCTTTGAATACAATATAGCTTCCTAACACTGCTTTTTTCCTTTCTCATTTTCACCACTGATCACCTTTTGTAATGCCACCAGCTTTGTTCTAGGCCAACGCTACAAATATTACTGAAACCGGAACAAATTGCAAGCAAATGAATTGGTCTTAGTATAACACCTAAAGTCTACCGAGGGGGTTCTTAAGCAAGTAGTCTTTGCTGCTGCTCTTATTGTACACATGCAGTTGCAGGTGTGGTAATTTTTTCAGCCTGAAGAGGGCCAGAAACATTGACAGATACACAGAAGATGCATTTACAGCATTTTGACAGGCTTTTAAAATTTCTTGTAACTGATATGATGTTTAGTAGGAAAAGAGAAAGAACCCAAAGAGTTAAGGAGGAACTGAATTACTGATAAAGCAATACAGTTGCAGGTTGTTTCCTAGTATGCGCAGTGCTTTGTCAACAATATATCCTAAATAGTTTAAATATTCACTGTATCTGCAGACTGTCGTGTTCTTATTCAGCTT